ATACAGAATATAAGAAAAAGACAATTACCAAGAATATACATTTCTCTTTTTATAATATACAAAATATACATTTTCTCTTTTTTATCCCTCTCATAAATAAAATATTTTAAATTATAATAAAAAAGAATCAAATATTTTAAATAAAATATAAAAATTTTCAAATATGTCATTATCATATATATTTATTGAAAAATTAAAAAATAAAATTTCTATATGTATTTATTTAAAAATAGTTTAATAAACTTTATCTAATCAACTAATAAAATATAATTATTTAATTGGCTACGACTAAGGCTATTGTGGGATATTCCAAATCTCATAACCGGCGATATCGAATATTCCATTATTCCTCTCCCATGTTCCCACATTTATATATTTACTCGTTTATTTTATGACGTGCAATGCATATTGACTATACTCATAATTATATGCTGATTTTTTATATATGTTTAGCTTTCCTATTTATATAAGTAAAAAGTGAATTCTTATTTAGATTACAATAAATATAGTGATTTTTATATATATAGTAATTTTTTAATTATATGTCTTGAATTGTAATATCTCATTAAAAAAATTGATATATTTGTTTCTTGTTTAAGATAACAATTTAAATAAGAAATCTGTTATTTATATTCTCATTAACATACTGGTTCATATAGTTTTTATTATATGTTAATTTTTTTTATTTTTTGTTCAACTATCAAATTGATTTATAAAAATTATCATATAACTTTTATTTTACGTTTTATAATTAAATTATATGTTTTATTTATAAATTTCACTATAATCTATTTTAATAAATAAATATACTTTAACAATAGAATAAGAAACTAATATAATAAACCAAATTAAATATTTATATATGGTATTATTTTTTATTTTTTTATCCAATCAAAATCATGAAATTATTTTAAAAAATTATTAATAAAATCATATTCCTTAATAGAAAGAATAGGATTTGAATTAAATAAGATATAACTATAATTAATCAAATTCGAGATGTTTAAAAATAATAATTTTTTATCTTATTTTTTGGCCAATCAAATTAGAGTGCGATTTGTAATTAAAGAAATTTAAACATACCCTTTTTAAATTAAAATTTAATTATGTAGATATATTTATTTAAAATAAATTCAAAAAAATAAAATTTTCAAATGTCTCATATTTACACATATTCATTGAAAATAATAATATTAAATTATTACAATAATAGTAAATAAAAATAGAAAAATAAATTATAATTATTAAATTATTATTAATAATGTATATAATAATATAATATAATTAGATATAATAAGATAATAATAAGAATAATAAAGGATAATAGATATAAGAATTGTTAAATTTTCAAATGTTAATTATTTATATATATTTATCTATAAAAAAAGTTTTAAAAAAATCCAATCAAATTATAGAGATGTTATATATATTTTTATGTTAAAACTTTTAATGGTTCATACTTGAAGGTGTTACTTTAAAGTGATTCTTTAAAATTGTACAAGGATAAATATAGAATTCTCATTAGTCTCACCCAGTTTATGTGGTCTACTTTTAATATATAGATGAGATAGATGGATTACATACATAGAATTTAATAATAAAAGTATATAATTTTTTTTAAAAATTTACAATTTTTGGTATTCCAACACAGCACATGATGTTCAATTAAATTTAAAAATAAATTTTAAAACATAAAAATTTGAAATTTGAAAAGCTTAATATATAGTATATTCTATGTTGAAAATTAATTTTTTAAAAAAAATATGTATCCATGCAACTTCAACCACAAAAAGAAAAGAATAAATATTATAAAAGAGAAATGTACTTTTTTTTTTCCTTTCTTTAATTTTTCTTCTAAAATAGAATGTTAGAATGTTTTAAATTATAATAAAAATATAATCAAATATTTAAAACTATATTATAGTTTTTTTTATGACGTGCATTGCATGTTTTTATTGCTCATTTAATACTCGTAGTTTATATAGATATTATATATTTTTTTTTGTTAAAATTTTTTAATTGACTATAACTAAGATTACTTTAAATTACCTTCAAATTTACAAGGACAATATATAAAATCTTATTATTTCTTCCCCTTTATTCCTACTTTTATATATAGTATAGATACATACATATATGCATACATATAATAATAAAATATTATATATATTTTTAAAATTACAATTTTCGGTCATTCCACACACACATATGTTCAATTTATTTAAAAATAAATTTTAAAACTTAAAATTTTGAAATTTGAAAGGCTTAATTATATATATTCTATTTGAAAATTAATTTTTTAAAAAATATATCCAATCAACTTCAACAAACATAAAGAAAAAAATAATATTAACTTTTTTTTTTCTTTTTTTAATTTCTTCTAAATAGAATGTTTTAAAATATAATAAAAATATAATCAAAATATTTAAAAACTGATATTATAGTTTTTTTATGACGTGCATTGCATGTTTATGCTCATTTAATACTCGTTAGTTTATATAGATATTATAATATTTTTTTTTGTAAAATTTTAATTACTATAAATAAATTACTTTAAATACTTCAAATTACAAGACAATATATAAAACTATATCTTCCCCTTATTCCTACTTTATATATAGTATAGATACATTACATATATCATACATAAATAATAATAAAATATTTATATATTTTAAATTACAATTTTCGTCTTCCACACACCACAATGTTCAATTATTTAAAAATAAATTTTAAAACTTAAAAAATTTTAGAAATTTGAAAGGCTAATTATATAATTAAAAAAAAAAAAAAGATTATAGCCAAGTCAATAAATGAAAATTACAAAAAAAAACATGCTAGAATCTAATTTTGTTTCTCTATTTTTTTAAGTTGCAAATTTAAAATAAATAAATAATTTAATTAATTAATAAAAAACATTTCATAGAAGAAACGTTGTATCTCTCCAAATATACCCTCAATTTTTCCACAACCATATAAGAAAAATAAGAGTATACTTTTTTCCTTTTTATCTCTCTTAAATAAAATATCATGTATATTCTATTTAAAAATATATTTTAAAAACAATATATCCAATTAAATTATACAAACATAAAAAAGAATATTAATAAAAATAATATATTTTTTTCTTTTTTATCTCTCTCCTAAATTACTTTTAAATTATAAAATCAAAATAAATATAACATTTAAATAATAAATGTTGAAAAATAAAAGATAAAATTTTTCAATATCTCATTATAATATTATATTATTAAAAAATAAATTCAAAAAATAAAAACTTAAAATTTTGAATACTAAATTTATATATATTTATTTTAAAAAATAAATTTTATAAATTATAATCCATAGTTAAGTTAATAAAAATTTTATAATAAAATTTATATATATATATAAATCACATAAATATATGTAAGTGAAGGTTAAAAGAAATATCGAATTTCACATAAACTATTATACAATTAAGTATTTATTAATTTTATTATTGTATAAATTTGTTTCACTTTTATTGCCATAATCTGATTACTTCTAAGAGTATTATAAAATAAAAATATCACATATTATTTTCTATAATGAAAAAAAAGAAAATTATTAGGTAACTATTTTTCTTTTAGATAATCATTTATAAGAAAAAGAGTGTGGCAGAAAGTGAAAAAAAAATTAATTAAATATTTTCTTATACACTACTTTGTCATGAAATTATATTATTTTTTTCCATAAAAAGAACTAAAAAAAATTAAATATCAAAACATTTATATGCAATATAATTTCAAAAATTTATATTTAAAATTTTGTTCTATTTGAAAATTTATTTTTAAAGAATATATCCAATCAAATCAGAGAAACATAAAGAAAAAGAGAATATTAATAAAAATATATATATTTTTATTTTTATGTCCCTCCTAAATAAAATACTTTAAATTATAATTAAATAAATAGTAAGTTCAAAAAAATAAAATACAAAAATTTTCATATTTACCATTATCATATATATTTATTAAAAATAAATTATATCCAATTAACTAATAAACTGTAATTTTTTAGTTGGCCATCGTTAAGGGTATTTTAGAATATTTTAAATTTCATTAAGAATGATATATGTTATCTCATTGTTCTCTCCTCATTCCCATTTTCATATATAGTAAAATTTATTTTCAAAAATATATATCCAATTAAATTATACAAACATAAAGAAAAAAAACAATACATTTTTTTCTCTTTTTTATCTCTCGCATAAATAAAATATTTTAAATTATAATAAAAATAAAATCAAATATTTAAAAAATAAATTTAAAAATGAAATATAAAAATTTTCAAATGTGTCACTATCATATATATATTTATTAAAAAATTAAAAATTTATTAAAAAATTAAAAAAATAAATTATCTATTTGTATTTATTTAAAAATAATTTAATAAACTTTGTCCAATCAACTAATAAAATGTAATTCTCTAATTAACTATAACTAAGGCTATTGTAGGATATTCTAAATTTCATTAAGAGCGTTATCGAAAATCTCATTCATATTTCCTCATTTATGTATAATATAGATTATAGATTATGATTATATGATAGTTAATTTTTTTTTGAATTGATTATATGATAGTTAATATATAATTTAAATTAATTATACGTATATATTTAGATTTTTTTAATGGCAATTGATGAAGAAAAAGGCATACTGTTTTTAAGAGAATGACTTGAGAGATTGAGACGGAAGTAAAAGTTAGATTTTGAAAATGTATTTCAATGTAATTAAAGTGACTCCAAATTATTTTTTTTCCGAATATTTCTCAATCTTTTTATTTACCCGCCAATGTCGAAGTGTTGTCCTTGTAATTATAACATACAAGTTGGCCAACCGAGTCAAGCGGGTCTAGTTCTTATTCAAGCCTCTAACTCATTTCTCTCTCTCTCTCTCTCTCTATTTGTCTAATGCATGACCATATAAAAAAAAAAAAAAAAAAAAAAAAAAAAAAAAAAAAATTACAAAAAAAAAAAAAAAAAAAAAAAATTACAGATGCCACAATTTCGGTCTTCTTTATTTCTGATTTCGTTTCTGCTTAGAAATAAATAATTTCAGATGCTAAAAAGTTTGATAAAATGTTAAAATAAGATGGAAGTGACAATGAGCCACTTTCTTGTTCTCTCAATCCTGGTTTCCTTACTGTCTTCTTCAACAATGGCCAATCAACTCGGTGTCAGCTATGATGGAACTTCTTTGATCATTAATGGGAAAAGACAGCTTCTTCTTTCAGGATCAGTCCATTACACTCGTAGTACTGCTGATGTAATTAACACAATCTCATAAAAGGGTTATTGAAATTAAGAAATTTTTTATTTCGCCCTCAAAACTTCATAAATTTATTTTTTTGCATTACAAACTTCATGTTCTAGCTCCTCCCCCGATTCCTATCAGTATCATGTCCTATTCATGTCCGTCTTTGTGTTCTAAAGATTTTTCATTTGATAATTGGAACTGCACTAATAAGGATCATATTGAAATGGGTTTACTCAGATGTGGCCAAACATCCTTGCGAAGGCTAGACATGGAGGTCTTAATGTAATTCAGACTTATGTTTTCTGGAACGTACATGAACCAGTTCAAGGCCAGGTATATAATCTAAATACGTATTAATTCAAGGTTATGTGTATCTTACCTTTCTGTTTGATAATTAGGTTTTTACTTGAACTTGAGTTCGTAATTTTATGATCCTAGATATGGATTGAAAGCTAATTGGTAAAAATAACATGCTGTCATTTTTGGGTGCTCGATTATGAAACTTACAATCTTGCCCAAAAATTTGCAGTACAATTTTGAAGGGCAGTATGACCTAGTGAAGTTCATAAAGATGATTGGTATCTATGGTATGTATGCAACAATCCGGGTCGGGCCCTTCATAGAGGCTGAATGGAATCATGGGTATAAATTCTGACTAATCATGCTCTTCCATTATATACTAATTTCTGATTTGGCTTAATGGCTTTGAGAGTTATATGATTTTGAATAAATTTTTTGGTTTAGAGGGTTCCCATATTGGTTGAGAGAGATCCCAGGCATTACATTCCGGTCCGATAATCCACCATTCAAGGTGATCAAGATTCACCTAGATTGATTGCTTATAGAAAGCTTTTTCTTTCTAATTTCTCTCTATTTTCGTAAAAATACAAAAGAAAAAAAAAAGCGTTCAATTTGCAGTACTACATGAGCAAGTTTGTTGGGATGATTATTCATAAGCTGAAAAAGGAGAAGTTATTTGCATCACAAGGAGGACCTATAATTTTATCACAGGTTAGAATTTTTCAATTCTTATGTATATAGCCTTTCAATTAGTTTTGCTATCCTTTAATATATATATGTTTTAATTGACTCTGATTGACAGTTTAAGCTCGCAACCTTACAATCCCGGAAACTACTCTGTTACAGTTGAACTGAAATCATTTTCTATGAGTATTTTGCGTATGCAGATTGAAAACGAGTACAAGAATATCGAAAAGGTATATAAAGAAGCAGGAACTAGATATGTTCAATGGGCAGGAACCATGGCTGTGGGGCTGAAAACTGGAGTTCCATGGATTATGTGCAAGCAGAGTGATGCTCCTGATCCTGTGGTAATTATGCATTGATTTTGTTAATTTCAGGGAATTAGGCAATACTATTCTGATGAAGAAAATTTTTATATATTTTATGAAACTCCAGTTTCTTAAAATTATCACTTTCAATCTGTAGATCAATACTTGCAATGGAAGGCAATGTGGTGATACTTTCCCAGGCCCTAATAGACCAAACAAACCTTCTTTATGGACTGAGAACTGGACTGCACAGTGAGTATCTATCTATATATATAGCTTAGAGTTTTCTGCAATTGTTTTAATTTAAAAAAAAAGGCTAATGGTAATAGCATTTCCATTGATGATATGTGATTACAGTTATAGAGCATTTGGAGACCCACCGTCTCGAAGAGCAGTGGAAGATCTTGCTTTCTCAGTGGCTCGTTGGTTCTCCAAGAATGGAACTCTGGCTAACTATTACATGGTAAGGGCATAAACATCTGTGGCTTCCAATCTGTATCAATTTATTAACTATATCTGCTTGCAGTACCATGGAGGAACAAATTTTGGCAGATCAAGCTCCTCTTTCATAACAACTCGCTACTATGATGAAGCCCCTCTTGATGAATATGGTAGGGATTTGAAATTGATCATCGTCATCATCTCTAAAATAAGAAAGACAAAGCTTTATACTGGACTCCCTTGATTGTTGTAGGCTTGCAGAGGGAACCTAAATGGGGCCATCTCAGGGACTTGCATAGTGCTATAAGGTTAAGCAAGAAGGCTCTACTTTGGGGTACTCCGACAACTCAATCTTTGGGTAACAATCTAGAGGTAATTAATTCGCATCCAAAAGCTATGCATTGGCTATGATAGATTACTAGAAAGAGTTTTGTTTTTTTGCCCAAATTCATGAATGCTCAAATTGTTTTGGTATGCAGGCTCGTATATACGAGAAACCTGGAACAGACATGTGTGCTGCTTTTTTATCTAACAATGACACCAAATTGCCCATGACTGTCAAGTTCAGAGGCCAAAACTATTACTTGCCAGCACTTTCCATTAGCATCCTCCCTGATTGCAAGACTATGGTCTATAACACCATGATGGTGATCCTCATTACTTATGCTCTCTCTTTTACATCGTAATGAAATACAATATAAAGTAATCAAATGCATTTCTAATTTAAATGATAAGTTAAAAATGTATCTGATTACAGCAATTCTCATTTTGATTCATATGTAAAAATCAGATTGTGTCACAACATAATGTGAGGAGCTTTGTGAGTTCAGAAATTGCAAACAAGAATTTTAAATGGAAGATGTACAAGGAGCTTGTCCCAACCCAACTTGAGGAGACATCAAAGAAACCATTGGAGCTCTATAGCTTGACCAAAGATACTACTGACTATGGATGGTACACTACAGCGTAAGTATACAAACTTGTGGAAAGCAATTATCTAGATTCTGCTTCTACTACTTTTGCCAAATTCTAAGCATGTTTTATGTTATTCTGATTACAGTTTTGAATTGACGAAACGTGATTTGCCAATGTGGAAAGATAGTCTTCCTGTCTTAAGAATTGAAAGTCTTGGTCATGCAATGCTTGCTTTTGTGAATGGTGAATTTGTAGGTAAGCACTGATAAATAACATTGCAATTTCAAATCTGAGTCATCCTGATAAAAATTTCAAATCTTAACTACTAAAGTATCTTCTTAAAAACCTATTATACTGTGAAACTGTAATTTATTATGATTTAATGTGGGAAGTTTGTATTGAATGGCAAACCAATAGTAGCTAAGTATATTACCCACTTTAAAAAATAACTACCAGATAAATGTATAAATACAGTTTTTGAACTAACAAAGTGTTCGGATGAGTGGTTCGGCATCCTTTCCCCTTAAGTGAGATCGAGGGTTTGATCCTCATAGATGAGTGAGCCGACTCAGTGCGAGCAGGACTTTACACTCCATACAGTCAACTAACATGCTCCAACAATTTTCATATGATAATACAAATAATATGCACCTTTTAGATTCATCATCTAATTTTATGTATAAGGGTAATGACTTTTAGGAGCTGCACATGGAAGCAAAGTTATGAAGAGCTTTGTCCTGGAGAAGTCTGTGAACTTGAAGCCTGGGAACATCACCATTACTCTCTTGGGTTCTATAATGGGACTTCCAGTAAGAAAACTATAACTCATAATAAAACAAAATTATATTTTACCATTTTCATAAATAATTTAAGAAGGGATACTAAATTTCCTCTTTGTTATATATTGAAGGATAGTGGAGCCTATATGGAGCATAGGTATGCAGGACCTATTGGAGTTTCCCTCCTTGGTTTCAGCAAAGGAACAGTTGATCTCACACTCAACGGATGGGGCCATCAGGTATAATATTGCAAATGTTCAGAATTCAAATTCTGACAACTTTCCTCTCTCTTACACATTACTTCAGTTCAAATTTAGATGTGAAATAATGGAAGGAGTTACTTGCACCTGGTGTATGGTACACCCATATGCCAAACCAATCAAAAACAAAATGAGGCCTGCTGGTATTCCCTAGCAAGAAGATCAGGTAAATGTTAGGTGTAGCAGTGGCTAATAGATAGAGTGACTTGTTGAAGGTAGGCTTGGATGGTGAGAAGAATCAATTGTACACTGAGGATGGGTCAAAGAAGGTAACATGGACAGAAGTCAAGAAGCAAGGACCTACTCTTACATGGTACAAGGTATATCAATTTTCATTTCCATTCTCTTTTCATTTTCAAGACAAAAACAAACATTACAGTGGTGAAGCCACTTGATGAGGAACAACTGATTTTTGTGTTTAATAGTTTGCCCCTAACTTTTCAAAATCCTGGCTTCGGCCCAGCCTGGAGATTAGCTTTGCAGATTATATCTGGAAATTAAAAAAGAATCATATATATGTATATATATATATAATATATATAATATATATATAGTTATAGTATCACTTCTTGTGTTATTAGTTTCAAATTTCTACTGTAATTTCATATTACAGACATACTTTAACGCTCCTGAAGGTCGTGATCCTGTCGCTATTAATATGGATGGAATGGGCAAAGGCATACTTTGGATCAATGGGAAAAGCATAGGCCGTTATTGGATGTCTTACCTCTCCCCGCTAGGATCGCCCACTCAAACCCAGTAAGTAAAATCAAGAAATTATAACAAGTGTAATTTTTAATTTAATGAATGTCATTCTGAGATAAAGTTGATTTTATAGTACATGAATTGTAGTAATTTAGGTTTCTTATCCAATTCGTGGTTTGGAATCAGGTATCACATCCCCAGAGCATACTTAAAATCAACCAATAATCTAATGGTTATACTAGAAGAGGAAGAAGCAAACCCGGAAAAAATTGAGATATTCACTGTGAATAGAGATACAATATGCAGTTACATGGTAGAAGATCAGCCAGCAACTGTCAAGTCATGGACGAGGAAGCGAGGCAAGGTCATACCTGTAATGGATAATGTAAAACCAGCAGCTCAGTTAACTTGTCCTAACTACAAGCAGATTATTGCTGTTGAGTTTGCAAGTTTTGGTGATCCTGAAGGTGCTTGTGGAAGATATTCTTTTGGAAAATGCAATTCTCCTATTTCAAAGCTGGTTGTTGAACAGGTAATTTTAATTTCGTTTTAATTATAAAATAATATAATTAGTTAAATATAATTAATATGGTTAAATCATAAATTTTTTCTTAGTTCTTCCTAATATGCCTTTATAATTTTTTCCAAAAATGGGAATACCAAAGGTCCATGTTTTAGTTAGTCTGTTTTAATGTAGATTAATTTAATGGTAATGTATATAAAGATGCATATCAAATAGGGGTAGAATAAGAAATTAGAAAGACTATTATCTTCTAAAAAGGAAAATAAGACTGTAATTCGAGGCGAGAAAAAGGGATAATGAACCTTTTTTGATTCGGGGGAGGAGTATATTTCCATATTTAGCGTGAATTCAACAAAAGAAAAGGTTAAAATGGAGTGAAATTATACAAACTTACAAAGTTTCGGGTTATTGTGATACATTAGGCCTAAGAAAAGAGGAGGGAAAAAAATATTAGAGGGTAAATACATTAAACAACTTGTGTCATTTTAATGGTTAGGCTAATATTAAATGCAAAAGGCAGCGTAAATGATAAATACCTGATAAACAAACTGCTTGGGCCCAAGTAATTTATTAAGAATGTTCAATTTTATTTTTGTGAATTTCCTACAATTTTTGTTTCTTAAATTCATTTAGATCAAACTGAATAGGAGATATGCATTATGAAAGATGATTAATAGTTGCTTTGTGTTGGATTTGAGCAGCTTTGCTTGGGAAAGAGGAGTTGTAGCATTCCAATTGATAGACAGCTCTTTGATAACAAAAAGGATGATTGTCCAGGTATACAAAAAGTGTTAGCTGTTCAAGTAAAGTGTGGCAGGCATTAGCTAGAAAGCAGAAGATAGGTACATTATGTTGGGGTTGAATTGTAGAGTTTAGGTATTATTTGTTTATTATAGTTTTAGGTTTTGAATTTACTAGTTAAAAGTTATGTTAATGTAAAGGAATAAAGCCTAATTTGGTCCCTGAACTTGTAATTCAGGGGAAAAAAATAGCACAAAATCAACTTTTGACTCAAGTTGCCTACTAACTACACTGAAACGGTGCAAAAAGCCCCAAATATCAATTTGAGATCTCGCGTGAAATTACAGGGTCAGGAGGCAAAAATTGATTTTGAACTTCGTTTTTCCCTGAATTCAGGAGACAAATTGGGCGTTATTCGTAATGTAACAGGCCAAGTAGATGTATAGATAGAATATAGTTACAGTAGTTTTAATAGCTGTGTTCTTACCAGAAGTGATTGAATATCAGGAGTTGACAAGTATATTCAAATTTGATTCTTAAGTATTGTTTTTAATTAATTTTTCGAAAATGTTTGATATTATTTCTGTTTTTTGTTTTTGTTTTCTTACAGAAAAGAGTTGTATTTAGGAAAAAAAAAAAGAAATAAAAAATAATTAAACAATGCATATTATGGTTTTCACTTCTTGTTACAACTTGTTTTTCTATTGTAAGTTATTTATTGAATAATATATATATATATATATATATATATAAATAATATAGATATATATATATATATATATATATAACATACCATATATAACATACCATTCTTAAATAATTGGAAAACAAAAAACAGAAACAAGAATTGTACCAAACATTTTCGATTTTTTTTTCTTCTTTGATGCAACAATACAACTAGCCTTTGCATCGGAGAGAATACTTGGAAAAGAGTGCGACATGTAAAACTGCCTTTTACCGCATGTGGTAGAAGCTATCGGACTAAAAGCTAAGAAAAGGAAAATCAATGGAAAATAAAGGGAAAATATAGTCAATTGAGAATCAGATCGAGAAAGTTCAAATCGAAACTGGTCCAAAGATTTTGGTTTTGAACCACTGCAAACCTAAATTAGTCCAGAATTGCCGATTAAACCGATTGTTCTAAGCCGGTTTATTCCCAAATTAATAACCGAGAACAATAAAAAATAAAAAATAAAAAATAAAAAATAAAAATTATATCGAAGTGGTAGATCCTTACTCAGTCCAGAATTAGCCCAAAATCAATTGAATCGGTATCAAAATTGAAACTTTAAAATCGATTTTAATTTTGAAACAGTGTTTTTTGAACTTAGGCCAGAGCTTAGACACAAATTGGATACAATGATCAAATTAGTAATCAACAAACCAAATTAGTCGGAGATTCGAATTAGGTTCGATCTAACTTAGAATCTTATGCCATATTTTGTTGGATGTAATTGAAATGCAATTAACATTCCATATTTTATTAGGCTCCGTTAATAAAATAAACTTTCTCTAACTTGAATTTTCAAAATCTGCAACTACAAAAGTCAACCATCTATATTTTTTGAACTGTTAAAAAAAAATATCACATACGTATAAATTTTCTCAATAACGAGGAACAACTCCGTTAAAAAAAGAATATACAATAAATTAAAAACACATGATTCCATTAAGAGGATACTAAAAACATTGATGATCGGTGAACTAAGGCAGATTTAAAAGACTAAATTTAAGATTTATTCCAAACCATCACAAAAAGTAAAAAGGATGAAAGGGAACCACCATTGATAATTAAGATAGTCAATAAAAAAAAGACATCAGTAGAAAAAAAAATGAAAAACCATTTTTAGTCATTTACTAACTTTATCCCCAATAATTAATTATCTACCCTTAACAATTATAAAATAGATCCCACAATTAATAAATGAGCTAGGCAAAGTCAAATTTAATGACAAAACTTAAACCACAAAGACATTAGATCAAAATAGTCATGAGAATTTCACTTCTCCATTACCATGAATAAAGGCGTCATGCAATTGAAATGTGTTGGAATATATTTTCTTCCAAAAAACTTAGAAATTTTATTTTAAAATTTGAAAAAGCATGCTATTCCATTCCAACTTTTTGCGAATGAAAACTTTTATCTCGATAATCAAAATTTAGTTTTTCAAAATTCCAAAACGTCTGCCTAAATAAATAAATAAAACTTTCCAAATTCAATAATTAATTATTCCATTTATCTAAATAAAATTTAAAATATTAATATTTAATTATTAACAAGAAAACATTTATATTTAAATGAAGTAGGATTAATATTCCACTCAAAAACATTTATATTCAATTTATGTTAAATGTAATTAAAAATTTTAAATACAAAAATTTAAAATATGAATTGAAATATGAAATTTACTTTACAATTCCATTTCACATTCCTAAGCATTCCATCTTGAATCACATAATTTAAAAAATTCCATTCCAAATTAAAATGGAATATACCTAATCAAGTAACATCCCTAATTTCAAGAGAGAATAGAAAGATTTTTTTTTCAAGTATCATGGATGAGAACTCAAAGCTAGATCTATTGTCATATCGTATATTCACATACCACTGAGCTAAGCATTGATTTGCGAAAATAGAAAGATTTGCCCTTGAACAAAAGGCCAAAAAATTTTATACCTCAAAGTTCAAGCAATTAAACAAAATGAATATCCAAGGAAACCACATGCAATAAACATGATAATGTATAAGAAAAAAAAATCAAAAAAAGAGAGAAAGATAGGGGAAATTAATATTTAATATTTTATTTTCCCATTCTATGGTTTCATGGCATACATGTATTTTCCTACTAAATATGGTGAAAAAAACAAAAAGAAATAAAAATAAAAATGAAATTCCTATTTATTTACAAAAGCATTAGCAGCTTAAAAAGCCTTCCACATGTTCCCTCTTTACAGCATGAAAATGCGGCAATCCAACCTGAAGAAAAATTGAGTCGACATTTTAAAGGATCTAAGACTCAACTGTTGAAGAATGGACAACAATTTCAATTGAATATAAACTTGAAACACATACACAGATTTTCATTCCATCAGGCCCTGATTCAACAATTTTGGCAACTGACCTTTGATGACACCATTAGTTTAAAACGCCCCCACCAAAAAGAAGCCATTATTCAGCAGAACAGGTGGTACTTTTCTATATCAAATTATCCAGGAAAAGAGAAATAATCCCTGACAGTCTTGTGATACAATATACACCCCTTTAACCAGTTAGTCAAAAACTCATGACAAATCGAAAGAACCCTGTCCTTCACTGATTGCATATAGTAGTTTCTTGTACATTATTTCCTGTTAAACCGTGATAATTATTAGCATCCACAAGTTGATTCAAAAAATACCTAGATGACTTGGAAACATATAATGGTAAAAGGTAACAACAACTATTTAAAACTCCAAAATGCTTACCTTGGTGGAGTATGGAGGAAGCTTCAGGTAATTAGCACAGGTCATCACACTAGGCAAGTCATCATCTGCTGATTCTGAAGGGCCGGTTCCATTCGCTGCCACATTCCCAGCAGATGAAGAATGCTGCATCCAGCCATACAATGCATCACAACAGTAAGTTTCAGGAATATGTACACCAGCAATAACACTATAAATATTGCCCCAAAAAAATATTAACTACTTTGTAATACTATATATATCATTGGGAATATACACATATCAAAAGGAGCAATCAAGGCCCACTCGTCTGCCCATATAAAAACAGACACTTAAAAATATGAGTACAGAAACCCACTAGCAGAAGGTTAACAGTTCCATGAACACATGTCCATTGAATTAAATCAAGTCATAAGCATTAAAAGTAAATAAGAAGATTGTTTGAATCTTAATCATTGTATTGTACCTTTCTCACAATGGTTAGCTTTGGATTTAGTACTGCTAGACCACCAGGCGGTAACCTTGGAGCACCAGTAACAAACTGGCAGAAGGCACGCTGCTGCTCTGGTGTGAACTCTCCCATAATCTCCAGCAACTATAAACATCATAAAAAGATGGCACAACCATGATTTAGTTCATTTACCAAAAACACAAAAAAAAAGGGTGAAGGGCATGATCAAGAGTTCAACATACATTAATAATTGCAGGACTCTTGGCAGTGTATCCATGATCAAATTTTATATGATCAACAAGGGTCTCAGGCTGCACAAGTCAAAAATCCATCAGCACCATCTATACCACCGGATCCAGTTATGTAATGTAAAATTCAAAGAAATAGAAAAGTTACCTCCCACAACTCTCGACGCCCACAAAGCAAATTGTCCAATTCTTGTGGAGAGAAAATTTGTAACGATGAGATGTCAAAGACCTATTTGTTATAAAAGGAACAAATAAAGCAAAATAAGAACATGATAACCAGTAATTGAAATACCATATTATGTATTTGTAGATAGATAGACAAATCCACATATATGGCAAGGCCAAAGTCCAATTGAAGCATATATACAAATAAGAGACTTGATAAGACTCAAATCTGCAATAGTTTAATATAACATATAATGCACATACCTGATTAAATCCAGCTCTAAATGCTTCCATCTGATGCATAATCCCAGTCTTCACTGATGCATCAACAACCAAACCTATGTACTCTTCCAAGTTATTTATATTAACCTGAAGATTATAAAAACAAATACATAAGAAAAATCCACATAAGAAAAAAATGACAGAAGCAAGAAAAAAGTGAGAGAGAGATTCAAAATTATAAGGAAAAGGAAAAAATTTGTCATTTACAGTTTCATCTCCAGTTTTCAAACTGTAGTCAGGATAACCAGGAAGAGTGAAATCCAAGCAAAGATCCTCAATTGGCGTCCCACGAAAACGCAGATCATCAATAGCATCACGGTTGTCACTTCCTGAAGATTCCAAGTAACGTTTTCTGCAAACAAGGGTGTCCAATTCTTGCAAAACCTTCCCAAATTCCGCGTCAAAAGAAAGAATATCATATAGATCAAGCTCCTGCAATTGATTAAGAGAGTAGATATTTTGAGCAACTAAAATAAAGAAATTCTCGAAAGTGTGAAAAGGATATGTTCAGTGCAATTTGCATACTTGACCAAGCACAAGCTTATAGAATGCTGTTGAAAGTGGCAAGTCCAGAAGGCGTCCATCCTGAAGAGCTTTGGCCATTACACGTCCAACAAGACGGAAATACTCGATAGCCTTGTGAAACTGGCTACCCTCAGAAGCATCAGCATTCGGAGGCCAAGGCCGAGGAAACAAACCCAGAGGAGCTTGGACAACATCTACAGCACCGGCAGCACCAGAGCCATTATCTAATTTCCCATTCTTGTTTCCATCATCAATTTCCATTGATTGTTTCTCAGATGAGGAATTTGACCTCCACATTCCAAGTGAAACCTTTTGTAAATCATGACTCAAAAGTGTGTAAAACTCTAAAGTAGGACCCAACCCAGTGCCGACTTCGCCAAAATATTCTACTTCAAGTACAGCCTTCTGACTAGAATACATCTCCATCACTTTCGCAGCAGAATCCAAAATGCGGTTTCGAGAAACACGAACTTTTTGGCGTTGTAATCTTCCAACCCTCACCTCTCTTTCATTTGCTGATCCATGACCATCAGCACCCTGCTGCTGCTGAAGGCGATACAATGCACGAGACAATCCAAAAGCAGTTGAATAGAAGTACTGCCTCCGGATCTCAAAAGGGAACAAAAACGGACACGCCTTGGTTAACTGGTAACACCATGATGGAAGACTTCCACTGCATAATGCAAGGGCATCCTGAATTTGCCGAGCTAATTTAGGAGTGAGCTTGCTGTTAATAAATTCTTCAGCAGAAACCCTACTACCAGTAACATTAAGCTCATCCAAACTTGAGATTTTCCCCTCAGCAAAATTTTCTGAAACCAACTGGGCTCTGAGACGTGACGCCAGCTGGTTCAAGCCCTCCAGTACACGCAACAGTGCCAATATACTATAAGTAGGATTAGATTTCTCCAAATCACAAGGAAGTTCCCCTTGCAAGATACTATCTAAAAGTGACATACGATGCAATTGAATGTCAGAGTTCAAATTGGGAGAACCAGTTTTTGCTGTTTTTGTTGTCATCGTCGAACTTGAACCCCCAATGGACACCCTATCAGCCTGGCCATCTGCCCTTTGGTAAGTAATGGTATATATATCACTCCAGAGCCTGCTGCCATCACTGGAGATGAAATCACTGCCAGCATACCTGTCATCATCATCCTCCTCCAGCACAAGCTGCCGTTGAATAGCCTGATAGATTGTCAAATGCCTATTTAGCTGCTTCCCACCAGCAGTAAAGATTAACTTCGGGGGATCATTTGAGCCACCAAATAGTGGTCGTCCTTGGCGATCTCTGCCTCCTCTGATACCTCTACCATTAGCGGTCCCAAGACCAGCCATAGCAGCAGCAGCAAATGACATAGCACCCCTCGAACCATAAGAGCTACCACCCCTAAAGTCAGTAGAATCTGAGCCCCTAACAGCAGCTGCTCTGCTGCTAGAGCCAGAAGCAGGATTAGTTTGGCTATCACTTGTTGCTGGTGCACCACTGCTATCCTCAGGTGCATCACCCAACTTCACATCATGTACTTTGTCAGGCATGCAAACAGGTAGAGAATCATCTCTAAGGACCTGGGGGGAGGAAATAAACAACAAATAAACTGGTCAGGGAAAATTGTAAAAATGAAACTCACATTGAACATTCTGGTTATCAGTGGCAGCATTTATTTCACAGAAGTGAAAAAAAAAATGATTGAACAAAAATAAATTCTGTAAAACAATAACCATAAATGATCCGATAATACTATTTTCATGAGATCCCCCACAGAAATCCCTCTTTCATATCTAGCCTCTGATGCTATTCCAATCTACACCTAGTCTAGAATATGTATGCCATCAAAAACTAATTATAAATATCATCCAAAAAATTGTTAAGACATCATACATGTGTCCCACGTGAACTGTAGCAATATCTACCATGTGATTGTCTGAGTTGTTTTCGAACAAGTTACATATGATTTAGTAACATTCAAAAATTATTAATATGTACACAACTATCGACTTATTAACAAGTACTGTTAATAATTATAGCTCAGCCAACAAAATATAACTTGTTCTTAAACAAAATATCAATTCTTCACTGGAAAATATTCCTTTACTTGACATGATAAACCATATAGAAATCACATATAATGAACAAAAATCCAGATTCAGTTATATAAAAATCAGGATCCATATTTCATTTTATAATACAACTAAGCAATGGAACAGGAAACACTACCTAACAATCAAACTTTCATAACAGTTACTACAGTTGGAACCATATTCAATAATAAAAATAATCTAAAAAAATACTAATAAAAATAATCTAAAAAATATTGTGGGGTATGCGTAATGTAATATATTTTTGTACTTTATGTACAACTATCTATCTGCACATGTTTATCAAAAGTAAGAAAATTCCAAATTCCCTTAGTCATAATAATACTAGTGCCATAACAAAATAGTTCTAGTTTTGTTGAGCCCTTCCATATTGCCAACAAAAGCCAACTTATATCGTGTCCGCATATACATAGGGAGAAGGAGATAGAAGAAGAGAAAAAAGAGAGGCAAGCAGTGGAGAAGAATAAGATAAGCAAAAGGAAAAAGAGTAAACATATATTTCCATAAGGGATTCAGAGGATTACATCTTCGTGATCATCGTCTTCATCATCAGAGATATCATCATCTTCGATCACCAGTGCATCATCAATCTCAACCGGAGATATATCCAATTCCTCATCCTACAATAAAGCAAAAGCAAAATAATGGAAAGGTAAGCCAACACAAAATTATAAAGTTAAGGGGAATAGGAAACATGAGAAAGCTTCAAATATTAGCAGGATTCTCCAACAAATAAATTGACTTACTAAAGGTAGCTCAACCCAATTTATGAACTTTATCCACCAAAATATAAATCAAAGACATATAAAAGTATCCTGTTCTATACCAAACAGACTTGTTGTCATGCACATCTACAAACCCTAAATAATTCCAACCACAAAGAACTTTGAATCAACAGCCTCAATACTAATTCTTCTCTTACTATCGCACCATGAATTTGTAAATACATAAAAAAGAGCGTAAAAACTGCAGAATGAGATACCAACTTTCAAAAAAACAGAAGCCCCCTTGCCATGTTTATTCCTTCTTATTTATTTATTCTTTAAAGAGAAGACTTCAACCTTATCTCAGTCAAAATATTAGAAATCCAGTATATTAAGATATTAACATCCCAACATCTCTTGGAAAACAATGAAATTGGAAAAAGCTAAAAATTTATGCCTTTTAATTCTATCAAGCATATTAAAAGTAAATTTATGATATCTTGCTATTGGAGAAAACATAATAAACCGAATTTAGCAAGTTAAAAACAGATTTTGAATATATCATCATGATCATAACAATTTTCACACTCCATTGTAATATTAACATCCCAACATCTCTTGGAAAACAATGAAATTGGAAAAGCTAAAAATTTTCCACTTCTTATGCCTTTTAATTCTATCAAGCATATTAAAAGTAAATTTATGAAATCCTGCTACTGGAGAAAACATAATAAACCAAATTTAGCAAGTTAAAAACATATTTTGAATATATCATCATGACTATAACATTTTTCATACACCATTATAATATAACATACCTCAGAACTAGAATCCCCGTTCACTGATTTCATCTGTGCATCTTTATCTAAGGCTGCTCTTCTGCGAGCAGCATTCCTCGTTTGAGGTCCTTTTGCTTCCTCCTGGGCAGGCTTCAAGACAGCTTTCCCCTTTCCCTTCGAGGAGCTTGTGCTTTTCTCCGGTACAGGTTCTTTTCTAGCTGCATCACCTATATTAACAGATGATCTGGATCTAGAAGAATGACGACGAGTGTTTGATGGAGTGGAGGTAGATGGAGATGATCCACCAGCTCCAGCAGGGGTGGTCCCAGATTCAGAGTTCCCCACAGATGCTGTGAGCTTTTGACCGGATTCACCTCTCTGAACTCGAGGCCAAAGAAATTCTTCAACTGCTGCTAAACTTGCTAATGGATCAATAAGAACCACATTTGAAGAATAATCACGGAGAGATTTTTCTCCTTGGGCTCGGCATAGACGCAACTTAAAAGGTTGAGACAAGGCACTTAGTCCAGAAGAGAGACGAGCACTTCCACTGGATGACCTAGATGAATGGCTTAAAACAACAGGAAAACGTTCTAAGGATGACAAAGCATTTTGAAGTTTCTGAACCAAGACAGTCATAGGAGCTGCAGCACTCCCTTGATCAATACTTGAAGGAAGTGCAAGAGAAACAAATAACTTAAATCTTCTAAGAGCCTGTTGACGAAGCTTGGACAGATTAGCTTCTGAAATTCTCTCCTTGGAAAAGTAACCACAAGAAAAATAATTCAGCAAGGCTGCTACAACCCCACTGCCAATAAACTCAAAAGTGGATACACCATCCCCTTTACTTAGTTCTGTGAGCATCTCAGATATCACACCAATCAAATACTCTTCTTTATTAGCAAAATTTTCAACTGCACGAGAACCAGAAGCTTTAGATTTGCCTTTTGATTTAGTCTTTTGGTCATCAACACCAACATTCAACTTCGTACAAAGATTCTTTAGCTGTAAAAGATCATCAGTAACTCCAACCTCAGAAGCCCCAGGATCAGATGGAAAATACTTGTCTTTGAAATTCTTAGCACATGCACTCACTGCCATGCGAAGACTTGAATTAACTGTAGGTATTTCAATAGAACTTGGAGGTGACCCAGCAATTGTTGGAATAGGATTTTTGGATTCTTCAGATGAATTTCCTTCAGAAATTGAGTTACCACTGCGACGTTTATAACGCCTAGAACGAGATGACGTTCCAGATACATAATCATTGTCCTTGTCAGCTGAAGATACTTGGGTAGGAGTCGTATTTGGATTTCCAGCCAGCACAAGTTGATCTACAGCATGAACCACACCCTCTCTAACAAACATCTTGGAGAAAGTTCCAGGAAGCTTTTCCATAAGAATTTCAGCAATTTGGAGGGCAGGAACCAAGACATGAGGATCTTTCCATGCTAAGACACCAGCCAGGAAACTACGGGACAGATAATACATTTAAATAATCATACAAATTTCTATATTAATAGTAGCACGAGATCGCGCATAGATAAGACTGAGTACCTAGATATGTTTGTAGCACTCAATAAAGACTGAATCATCTCTGCACTGCCAAAATACATCAACTTTCCAATGACTGAAAGACATTTGTGGCGAACAGGGCTGTTCACACTGGAACCATATATCTGCCAGAAAAGGCTATAATTATCAGCTGAGGAAAAGCAAGAACCTAAATGACTTCTAGCCCAAGAAAACTAACCTGTATCAAAACAGGGAGAAGATCCATTCCAAATTGCTGTAGAAGCTCTGGCTGATCCTTCAATAATTTCTCTCGAGCTGAAACCTCCGGAAGATTTCCATTTAGATCATCTTGCTTTCCAGAACTGCTCGAAGGCAACTTCTTTACAACAGGTCCTTTCACAAATATGTTGGAGCTGGCAGGGAGGGAGATAGTTCCTTGTGGAAGTGGCGGGAGAAGCTCATTTGCTAGGTTGACAATCTCAAAAATCTATCCAATGCAATAAAAGTCAGATTGAGAAGAGAAGGCAGTAAAATAGCCAACTTTTCATGCAAAATTTAATAAAGATATGAGAAATACCATATTGATTGTATGGAGAAAAGAAAGGGAGTGGAAGGGGAAGGACAAGTAAGCAGAAACTCAACTTACATGAGGAAGAAAACCTAAATAACAAGTCCTATACTAAATGGTCTCGACAAATAAATCTAAAGATCAGAAATAATTAGAAGTATGTTTTATCAGCTCAAATTTACAAGTAATGAAGGAACTCCATAGCAAAATGGAAAGAACAGTCATACACATGCCTCCATCGACTAAAGGCCATTATATAACAGATGCTACATCTTTTTTAAGTTTTTCTCACTCTAGAAGCCAGTAACATAGCTCAAGAGAGTCAGTCTTCGCTTGGTGCAGGAATGGGAACATCAGACTCACCAATAAGCATATTACAAAGAAAAGGCTATCTAAAGTGTTCAACTACAAAAAGTCAGAACATAAGCCACCTATTTTTCCTTGAGTTATGAATTATTGGTAGAGGGATTATATACAATACAGAATGTAATCTCCATAACGTGTGTTAATATTCAAACCAAGTTACTTAAGTGCAGTTCAAGCTTTCACAATTTTCAATTATAAACTAGGGAGAAGAAGCAGTAAGCACCTGCTCTGCTGGTCTACTTAGAGCTGGAGGAACTGATGAGTTAGCAGATAATCCAGAACCTGATAGTATATCTTTAAGAATGCCACTTATGCCAAGAAGTAGCAAAGTTTTTGCTCCAAGAGGAGACCCACTTGCAAACGTGGATAGTAGTCGGATTAATCCCTGCATGCCTCAAAATCAGACTAGCAGCCTCAAAATTCAGAAGTACTAAACTCATATCAAAAGATATCTTTACCGTGTAAGTAGGCGGGCTAAGAGATGCCTGTCCACCTCCAGAATTACTAGTGGAAATGAGAGAGGCAGCTTGTGTGACCAGTCCATGATTACAAAGTTCATCCAATTTGTCGGGTGATGACGCAAAGGCTTCAGCAATTCGGGTCAAACAGACAGAAGCATGCTCCAATACCTTCAATCATTAACACAAATTTCATTTTTTCCAAAGGAGAAGACAGAAAGGAGCTTGTTGAGAAAATAGCAACCATACCTTTGCATCATGGTACTGAAGAAGATTGGTCAACAGAGGAACTGCTTCCATCACAAAGTCTGCCGCATCTGAAGGAAGTTTCTTGCACATATTTGCAGCAGTAGATAATGCTACCCGCTAATGAAATAAAAAGAAATACGAAATCCAATAAGAATACAAGACCTTTCACAATGTTAAAGCCCCTCACGTTCAACATGAACTCAATCCTAGGAAAGTAACTAGAAATCAGTTACCTGGACTCCAGTGGAGAAGAAATCCAGATAAGAAAGCACTGCCATAAGAGCACCAGCTCGCAGACATGCAGTAGGGTGCTCCTGAGATATCTTTTTCAGCGCTTGCAAGGACTGTTTCCATCAGAAAAACCACAATTCAATAACATAACAAAACAATAAACTCACAACAATGTGCTGATAAGATGCAATTACAGCCAGTAATAAGCAAAACAACTAGTAACTTAAAATATCTAGATACAAAACGGATGCTTATAAGAACAACTAACCTGTTCAGCCAAGTCCATATATTCAATGGTAAGCAACCTAGCAACAAAGCACGAAACAGCACCATAATGCACAACAGCTGCACAGGATGAAGGCAACACATCACATAAATGTGTAATTGCCCTCGCAGCAAGCAGCATTATATCCGGATTACTCTCATGGTTCAACAACCCAACAAGCACAGGCACAAATGAATCGACGGAGAAAGTACTCAAGGACTCCTCAGTTCCAATCGACAGCATTTCACAAAGCTGGGTTAAAGCCTCAACCTGTTTCCCTTCCTCTCCATCAGCTCGCAATCCCGATAATATCTTCTTCAACCTACTGGATTGATGAGAGGATGAAGCAGACGGCATTCCTGATGAAGGTAAAAGATCATCAAGACCAGCACCAAGCTTCCGCAATAAGCCTTGAAGAGCACTGCTTGCTGATGTTAAATTCTGATGGAAAGTACCAATACCACCTCCTTCACTATCGTTGTCATCATCGTCGTTTGGATTTATATTTCCAGATTCCATATTTAACCCTAAACTCTCTCTTTCCCTATTGTCACGAACCCTAACCTCGTGTTCCTTCTCCTTGCCTTTATCGGAAGATTCGTTTTTGCTACGACGAGAACGAGACGATGATGATTCAACGGGAGTGGTAGGGTCCATGAGCGGCGCAGGATGAGCGCGAGTAGGGCGAGTGCGGACGGTGGTGGTGGCGGCGGCAGCGGCAGTGGTGGAGGTGGAAGAAGAAGTTGTAGTAGCAGTGGCGGCAGAAAGGCGGGAGCGTTTTTGAGAACGAGTTGTAGGACCGGAGGAGGAAGATGAAGGGGCTGTTGAGGAGGCCTCCGCCCGCTTCCGGCTCCGAGTTTCCATACAAGAACTAAACCGCCCCGATTAAATCCGTGGTCGCGATCACGCGGCACCGGATCGGGATATAATTTTCTGCATCTGAGCACAAGATAATTAAAAAAAAAACCCTTAAAATTCAGAAAAAAAAAGAATAATTTATTTATATACAAATAGATAAATATAAATATATACTGTTTGTTTGTGTTGAAATTGAGCAATCCAGAGGAAGAAAGAAAGAAAGAATCAGAAACCTTATATACAATTGAAAGAGAAATGAGGGATTTTTGTGCAATTAGGGATTTGTGTGCAAACCAAACAGTGAGGAAGAGAAACCCTAAGGTGGGGAAGAGAATAAAGATGAGAAATGAGTGTGGACTTTTTATATGTGTTGTTGATGATACTGAGAAGAAAGAGATTTTATATTTATATTTTTCTTTGGTCTCTTTTCCGCAGTCGGATTTTGTTTCTATAATTTTTTTTTTTTTTTTTGTTGCGGGAACCCTTATATAGCAATTGAAAAGAGAAATGAGGGATTTTTTTGTGCAATTAGGGATTTTGTGTGGCAAACCAGCAGTGAGGAAAGAGAAAACCTAAGGTAGGGAAGAGAATAAAGATGAGAAATGAGTGTGGACTTTTTATATGTGTTGTTGAGATACTGAGAAGAAAGAAGACTTTTATATTTATATTTTTCTTATGGTCTCTTTCCGCAGTCGGATTTTGTTTCTATAATCTTTTTCTTTTTTTTTGGGTTGCGGGATGCGGAAGCGGTGAATGCTTCTCCGTTTTGTCCAGTCCACATCGGGTAAATTTTTTTTTTTTTTTTGGTTGCGGGAGCGGAAGCGGTGAATGCTTCTCCGTTTGGTCCGTCCACATCGGGTAACAGGTTTAAGGGCATAATTTGCCAATCACTTGTGCAACTAATAATCGAAGTAATACTTTTTAGAGAAATTAATTATTCTGAAATATGACGAAATTATTTAAATAATTTATTGATTTTGGATGAATATTCAGCGCATTTCTCATGAAATTATTTAAATAGTCTTTCTATCTAAATTTTGAGGATTTTTTTCGTCCAATAGTGGAAAAAGTAGAAGAGAGATGAGAGAAAATTTATGAAATTGACAAACTTACCCTTCTCTTTTTCCTATTTGGCGACACTTTTCCCTTCTCTTCTTTTTCTTATTTGGCAAAGCTTTGACTTCCCCACAAACGCTCTAGCTACTTCCTTTACATGGTCACTACACAACTCACCGTCCAAATGGACAAAAACAAATTATGATCAAGCTAAATCTAAATCTCGTTCCTAATAATTTTAGGCAATAACCAGATTTGTTGCGATATGAACAAAACGACCTCAAAGACTAAGTACAACTTTCTCCTCTTAATTGTGCATATTAACACGATAAACACAAATTCAAGCACAAGGAAGTCATAAGCAAGAAAATAGAGCAAAGAATTATAACATTCATTCAAGATTGGTATATCGTGATCGGATGGCGTCACGGCTCTCACCCAAAACATCACCTAATTTGTAGATCATTGTCTCAAACAAAACAAATAAAGCTTCTTCATAAACACTTCCCATCAGCAGCAAGGGCCGCGATTTCACCTCTCTATCATCCGCCATGGTCTGCACTGGCACATAGAAAACCATGTTGGCATGTTTCACACGCAATCGCGTTTCAGGCAAAAGTAGAACTCTAGCACTGTTTCATTGTGCAATCCATCAGTAAAATATGTCAACATCAATCCAAAACCAAATCCAATCCACCATGTGGCAGTAGTGTATCATGCAAAAACAAATTAAAAGGAAAACGCAACCACACAAAAAGAGTGATGTCGCTAGTGTGTAGCACAAAGAGCAGCGACAACTTTGGTATTGGCTATGGCCTTTCTGCATGTTTAGAGGGTTTGTAATGTCGACTAGTATGGAAAGAGAGGGCTAGTGTGGGAAGCTTAGCGGTGGTGGAGAAGATGGCAGGGTGGGGTTGATGGTGAAGGTGGCGGAGAGGGAGAGAAGGTTTGTGGCTTTCATATTGTCCTGGGGTGTTTAAGTCATTCCCTTATGACTTAACAGAAAAAAACCCTCAAAATTGAACGGAGGGGCTACCTAGAGTGACAGATGCAAACGTCAAAGATGCATTAGATATTCGTCCAAAATGAATGGACTATTTAAATAATTTCGTCATACCTCATGGACTAAATAATTAATTTCTATACTTTTTATTTTGTTTAATTACAAGAGTACCAAATACAAGTGTTCATCCAATCACCCTAATCGATCTAAATTGATTCAAAGCCGCAGTTTTTTAATAACTGATGGTTTAGTTCGATTTTTTATAAATTAAAAAATCGAAATTTTGGTTTAGTGCATATATTAAATTAAAAAAATCGAAATTTTGGTTTAGTGCATAATATACTATATATATAATTATATTATACTATATATATATATATATATACTATATATTATATAGTATATATTGGATAGCTATTAAAACAAATAAGTCAAATATTAATAGGAAATTATACAATATCTGACAAAACAAATTCAAATGTTAAATACTAAGTATAATATTCATGGTGCAATTTATATTATATATAAAGTAAAGTATAGTTTTTTACTTGATTTGTTTTTAGTACTAAATATAAAAATAAGTCCAAAATTGTTAAAATTTTATATTTTATAAAATGTTTAATTAACGTTTTATTAAATATATTATATTTTTTTTTTTAACCATACTCAGAATAAATATATAAAAAAATTAATTTAAAAAATTTTGGAATTATTTAAATCATATGTATTTTATGTCAATAGTTTGTATTAATATATTTTTTTTCTATTTAATTTACATAATCTTTAATCCTTTTTTTTCTTGTTAACCTAAAGAAAAAAAAAAATTGGAAAAATGGAGAAAAAATTTTGTTTTTTTTAATTTCCTTCATTTTCAAAACCGCTCAACCAATCGCAAACTGAATCAGTAAAGATCAAAAATGTCACTAAGATCCTAGTTTAGCTTGAAAATTTTGATGGTTTAGTTTAGTTTTAATATTTTTTAACTGAACATTAGAATTTAGTTCAATTATTGTACATTTATATATTGGATAGCTAATAAACAATAAGTCAATATTAATAGGTAAATTATACAATTATCTGACAAAAAAATTCAAATGTTAAATACTAGTATATATTATGTGCAAATTATATTATATATAAGTAAAAGTATAGTTTTACTTGATTGTTTTTAGTACTAAATATAAAATAAGTCAAATTTTAAATTTTATATTTATAAAATGTTTAATTAACGTTTTATTAAATATATTAATATTTTTTTTACCATACTCAGAATAAATATATAAAAAAATTAATTTAAAAAATTTTGAATTATTTAAATCATATGTATTTTATGTCATAGTTTGTATTAATATATTTTTTTTCTATTTAATTACATAATCTTAATCTTTTTTTTCTTGTTAACTAGATGAATGAGAATTGTTTAATTTTCTTATTTCAAACCGCTCAAACCATCAAACTGAATCAAGTAAATCAAAATGTCACTAAGATCTAGTTTAGCTTGAAAATTTTGATGGTTTAGTTTAGTTTTAATATTTTTTAAACTGACACATTAGATTTAGTTCAATTATTGTATTTAAACTGATCCTCGAACAACCCTAGTACCAAATACCAATAGTTCAAAAATATTCCAAAAAAATATTTCAAAAATATAATTATAGACTAAATATAAATGATTCAAAAATATGAAATTTACTTTAAATAAATTTTAAGGAATTCAATTGGACTTTTTTACTAAATATTTAATTGAAGGCTAAACTATAAAATTACCTCCAAGTATGCGACTTCTTACAAAATCAACCTAAAACAATCTTGTATCTCGGGCATTCCATTTAAAAACTTAGATATATTGACAGTCTAGTGTAATTTTTAAGCTATAAAAATGACTAAATTGATATTTTATGCGGAACCCACTGATTTACCTTAGATTAGTTTAACCCAAGAACCAAAAATTCACCATTTTGGTATAGTTTCATCTAACTGAAAACCCTCTCAAACCGATGCCCAGAAATCTAACTTGGTGCTTGTTCTCTCTCTCGTTCTCCATCTACTGCTTCTCTCCATCGCCCAGAAAGCATACACGTGTCCAGATTTGGCCATTATTTGATCAGTTTATTTGACGTCTCTTCTTGTTTCATTGGTTTCACCCCTAAGACGGGGAGTTTGAACATTTCAATGCAATTTCTTATGGTACATTTTTTAAACTAGGCTTATATATGTTTTGTAAATTGATCTTGATGAAAGTTTACAATAAGTAAGAAATATTAAAGATAAACTTGTTGCATGTTGTGAGTAATACCGAACTGTTTGAAAATGCTCATGACTAAGTCCACCATCTTATCTTTGATTTAGTCTTCCTTATTCTTAGTTTTCATTAGCTGGTTTTCTGTGATTATATTTTTCATATTCTAGTTATTTATTGTTGAGAATGTCTTGTAACTCTGATTGAGTATACTGCTTATATATACTCAATTCACTTTTGAATAATATAAGCTTCTCCATTACTCAATTATCTTTATGGTATCAGAGCTTTAATAAACTCCAACGAGTTGAATTTTTTTTTCATATCCACACTGTCCAATCTCATAATGTCGTCCACTATAAACGTTGTCAACTCTGATAACACCACCGGCACCAATATTATAATGCAATTTAACCCAGCCTCACAATTACCTATCAAACTCACATGCAGCGATAACTACACAACCTGGAAATCCCAAGTTTCCATGCTCATGTATGGACATAATGTTCATGGCTATTTAGATGGTACCTTCCCTGCCCCACCACAAACAATTACTGTTAACAATGTTACTGCTCCCAATCTGGCTTACATGAAATGGTTCCAACAAGATAAATTGGTTCGTAATGCCATATTAGCCTCTGTCGATCTCACACTTGCTCATTTTGTCACCAATGCTTCCACTGCTCACAAAGTATGGATCTCACTTCAAACTGCTTTTGGTCTCAAATCTTAAACCCGAATTATTCATTTACAAGACCAACATGCTCGTACAACTAAAAATGGTTGCCCTGTAGCCGACTACGTGCGCGACATTCGTTCAATTGCTGCTGAGGTATACACTGCATGTGAACCTCTCACTAATATCGCCTTAATGGGTCGGATTCTACAAGGATTAGGACCAGAATATACACCCACTACTGCAGCCATTCGATATCGTCCCTCCTTTATATCCTATGAAGAACTCTATGAACAACTTATTGATTATGAAATTTTTCTCCAAAATGAAGAGGCCAAGAAGACTCCAAATATCACTACTGCAATTGCTCAATGCAACACTTCCAATTTACCTCGCCAATTTCATCAACAGTCTAATGGTTCCTCAAATACTCAAAATTGGCGTCCTCAACAACCCAGAAAT